TTCTTCTGTCTTACTTCTACAGATATCTTCCGTTTGCTACTCATATACAACGAACAATGCCCTCGTCGAAAAACTTGTCAGTTTATTTTGATTTCTTACTGAAACCGTTGATTTGGTTAATGCTTGAGGTGCCCTTACGGCCCTCCAACAGGACTATCCGTTAACTGATATAAATAAGGGACTACATAATAAAAGACCTTCTAATTTGTCCTAAGTTTTAAACATTTGTAAAGATCGTTGATTATGTCATAAAAGACTGTTGACTCTTGTACTGCAGTATAATTGACGTTTCTAAAGAAAAATATCTGAAAAGCAAGGTCTTGTATCTCAATTTTTGCAGGTCGAGATGCAGAGAGGTCTTCTATTTGGAAAGGGTCTTCTAATATGGCAACTCCTTTATGAGCTATTCTTTTTAGACCACAACCTAAGTAGTTTAATCGACTATTTCAGATTTTTTGTCTATAGGAGGCTTTCGTAAAGGCGTAAAGGCAACATTACGCTGAACATTGGTGAAAACCGCAGGTTTAAACGTTTAAATTTAGCCGAGATAGCTTTTGCACTTAGACTAAATTGGTCTAAGTGTACTTTAAACGGGTTATCTCGGCAACGACACGTGATTAAGATGCAACACGCGTGACTTTTTCACATGCGGTTTTTGCCAATGTTGATAGTAGCGTAAAAATAATGGCTCTTATAACAATGAGCAAAAATATTACTTGCATTCATGAATCATAGATCAGAGGACAATAATTTTTTTGAAACACCAAAACTGAAAATCTAATTTACGGATGGAAATATACAACTTCGTACACTCTTTCCAGCGAGAGTATGAGAACGTGTGAAAGTTTCATATAAGGTCGGAAAATCGCTATTGTCATATCATGTTTCCTCTCAAAACGCTTAACATCCGAATTTGTGGCCTGCGAAGGATCATGCACTCCATGACTTTGATAGGGAGTAAGTAGAGACATCTTTGAGTATATTGCATACTCAGATTGCGAGGGCTGATCACATGATTCTGAGGCGGTGCTGCGTGAAACTATATCGAGGCTTTTTTTTTAGATAAAAACAACTAAAAACCACTGATGTAGGAATATGACTGTATGACTGACATTATTTCAACTGCTCGAAAATTAGAACAACTAGTTAACTTAGGGGTAAGAATTTGGAACTTATACGAATGATTTGGAACATGACAGTATCTGATACTCTCTGAAAAAATAGACATTTTAAAAAATCTGAAAAGGATTCTGGAAACTGCAAATATACGGAACCCTTTTTAAGGTTCAGTTGCAAATGAAATATCGATCTTTTAGAGGATAGGTAGCTCCTTCTATTTAAAATGATATTATGTTTGCTTATAATTTGGACATTTAACGATTCTGTTCTTATATACACGGTTAAAAAAAAGCGTCTGATTTCCTGCGATAGTGGATCGGTCAAGCAGATCAGGCGTGCTTCCAAAGTATAGTGCGTTCAAAACTGAGTAAAATATTATTTGGAAATCTTTTCAAATTTTGTTTTTCCATCTAATAAAAACACACACGAAAAAATTCGTCCAGAAAAGAAACCGCCTAGCAAAAAAGCATACAAAAATGTGACGAAAAAACCGCCCACTAGAAGGTGTCAACTTTTGGACGCTTTTTTTTTACCGTGCAGAGAAGGGAAAGTAATTGTAGTTTCAGCTCTTTCTAAGACTTTACTTTTGAAAATAGTTGTCAATTCAAGAAGAAATAAAAGGTTATATAATAGATCAAACATTCATTTTTAAACTGCGCTTTTTGCTTACTCCAGCTGACAACTAAATGAGTATAATATTGGAGAAAAATTGAGCTAAGGGAGCTTTCTTTACTCACTTTTTTATGTGCGGTAAAGTAAGAAGTACACTGTAAAGTCGGAAATTATTTATACAAAATGCTCGACAATTTTCAAAAAGTCCGTATATAAAATTCTCACGGATTTTCCAGATTATAGAAAATCGAATTTACAATAATGTAGAAAATCGACATCGATTTTCTACATTGTTGGGAATTATTTATAGAAAATCCTCAGGGATTTTATATATGGACTTTTCGAAAATCAAAAAGTCGGATTATTTTCTACTTTCTAGAAAATCGATGAGGATTTTCTAAATGATGAGGAAAAACAATTTGAGTGAGAATGCTGATAATCGGAGACTTGCAAAATGAAAATGACTGAAGATAAACTTTTTCACCATTATTAAAAGCTATTGAACTTCGAAGTTGAGTGGGGTATATTATTTTAGCTTATTGGATGACAATATGGATCTTTCAATAATGAAAACCAAATTAGACGTCGCTCACGTGTTAAACGACCGTTATTTTATTTAAAAAATAAAGAAAAATGTGAATTGCTAGGATCATGTCTTTGAGTTAATATGACCAAGTACATTTTTAGAAGATGCTATATTAGGAATATTAGCAAGAGCGAATCGCTTTGCGATCTTCAGAAAATTGCGGTGGAACTCGACTTTGTCTTAACCAGGCAACCTAGGAACCTTTTCAGTACTTCTTTGTGATCTTCAAGTGTCATCATGTATTCTCAGTTCAATGGTAAATGTTGTCCAGAAATTTCTTCATCAAGAGTTTGAATATTAAAAATTTTTAGACATCGTCACGACGAAGAGGAACGATGTTGATTGCTAATTGTTTGTTTGTATTTTGTTATTTATTTATTTATTTTTTGATGTTCATTTGTTTGTTAATTTTATTTATTTATTTCACGCAAGTATATTACAGGGTGTAACATAGCATGAGTATAAAAATAGTTCAGTTCACCGCTGTCCATGGATAGTTGAAGACGTACATATCTTGGTTCACCCACCATTTTGTAGCTGCTGCTGGATTATCTGATTTTCAACGACGCCTGAAACAGTGAAATAAACGGAGAATGTGATTAGTAATGGGCGGGTATGGATGGATGACTTGTAGTTACCGTACTGAAGTTACTCATAAAATTTCAATTTCATGTCGCTAAGGCTAATAAAATTATCAATTTGATTTAGTAACTTCAGTTGCGGTAACCACAAGCTTAATAGATATGTTTAAAGCATACATTCACTTAGTTGCCAATTTTTCTAGAAAAGATTTTTCTGATCTAATTTCTCGTTCATAAAATCGCTTAAATGTTTAACATTAGACCATCGCGCTGCACTTATGATTTGTTCTATACTTAGGCCTTGAACTTTCGCTTTTGATTGGTTGCAACTGCTCGACAAGAATGTGTCTTAAAGAGTTCTGCACCTATTCCTGCCAATATCATCATATGTTTGACTAAATTTGTGATTGTGGTCGATCTTGTTACTCGAAAAAGTGCAGTTGCAGTAACAAAAAGGTGATCTTCTTCTTTTCTGTTTTCTTTAGTTCTTTTTAGGTAACACTGCAGTGAAGAAACTACATCTACTATCCGTTCCAAATGGTCAGACCGCTGGTTGCTTTTTGAATAACTTTTGATAGGAATGAGGTAGAGACCTGCGATTTTCGCTGTTCAATAGCCAAGACTCGAGCAGAACTTTTCACAAGCGGAAGCAACTTTTGAAAAAATTCCAGAGATCGGTTTTCAGAGGATCTTTGGAAAACCAGATCCGTTCTCAGAAAACAAACATACAATGTTAGTAACCTTTTTGCATGCGTACATAGTTCGGACGTTACTCTACAAAATTGTGCAGGTCCCGGCTCTCTAGCTATCGTCATTTGGGCAGGGCTCGCTTTCCCCCGAGCACGTGTCTATCTCCGAGCAGACATCTCTGGGAATCTCAGAATGCCATGGACAGCGGTTGTATGTTTGTTTTCTGAGAACGGAGCTGGTTTTCCAAAGATCCTCTGAAAACCCGATCTCTGGAATTTATTCAAAAGTTGCTTCCGCTTGTGAAAAGTTCTGCTCAAGTCTTGGCTATTGAACAGCAAAAGTCGCAGGTCTCTACCTCATTCCTATCAAAAGTTATTCAAAAAGCAACCAGCGGTCTGACCATTTGGAACGGATAGTAGTTTGAGTGATATTTGATTTTTATAAAATATCATCCTGACTGGTTTATGATGTTCTCTTTGAGCTTTTGTAAGTTCATCAATGATAAACTCGGTTTTATCCTCGTCTTCAATCATTCGCAAAATTTTTAATTTCTGCAACTCTGAAGATCTCGCTGCTGTCATCAAAATCATCGGTGTTGATAATTTATAACTCAAATGAAGAAGTGAAATTGCTTCGTCTTCTTGCGTAGATTCCATATAATTCAGGACTGCTGATACATCCTAAGTAGAATAATATCGCGGTTGCGGTGGACGTATATTGAATACACCGCGCATAAAACTTTTTATCATCGGATGCTGTTTTACAGGAACACTCTCTGTGTTTGTCATATTCACAGACGTATATGTAAATTGTTTTCAAATAAGCCTGCTAAAAGTTTAAAATATTGGCCAGAGATGCTGAAACTAGATCGCTGTTTCTTGACAGAATCCAGTCAGTCCATTTAACCCAACAACATTTGTATGCAGATCTAGTTTCTAGCCTTTTAGCATTGCAAATGTACTTTGCACTTTCTAAGCTGCCATCGGTAACCTGTTTTGCTTTATCATTGAGTTTTGTTGTCCCGCCGGGTTCACAAGTAGGTGTTGAAAAATTGGCAAGAGTACTGGTGCTCCGATCAGTTGTGCAAGCAATTGAGGGAAAAACGTCTGGTTGGGCCAGACTGGAGCAATGAGTACTACTGTCGATTTTTCTCTGCGTAATTTCGCTAAAAGATGTGAAATCAAACAAAACGGTGGAAATGCATGAGCATTTTCGAAACGATTCCAGTCGAACTGTAAGAAATTTGCCCCGATTGCTTCAGGATCGGGTTTGGAGCTAAAATATTGTACGGTTTGCGAATTAAGCCTGCTTGCGAACCGGTCAACATTAAATTTATCGAAAAGTTTGTGTAAACTGAGAAAAATGTTTCTATCCAGACGCCAGTCGCTACCATCATGCAAATGACGTGACGCCTAATCTGCTTCCATATTCAGACGGCCTGGTAGAAATTCTGCTGTAACATGTAGTTTATGTTCGAAACAATATTTCCAAAATTTTTTTGCTGTTTCAATATGGGCTTGAGATCGAGTGCTGCCTATATTATTAATGTATGAAACCGCACTGGTACTGTCACTGAAAATATGAATATGCTTATCAACAAGTCCTTTAGCGACTGAGTTAACAACGAATGATGGTGCTAAAAGTTCTTTAGGACTGATATGTAAATTTTCTTCATTAGACCATCCTCCTCCTATGTATCGTCCATCACGGTGAAATGCACCCCATTTTTCAGGTTGAGCGTCAGAATAAATTTTTAAGTCAAAATATAAATCTGGCGACGGCGATATTAACGTGTGTCCGTTCTGTGAGCTAATATTTTCTACCCACCCAAGGTAACTCCGTCTTGCATTCCGAAGTCAGAGTTATTTCGGCTTCATAGTTTCTATTTTTGATGAATAAAATTGTAACTGTGTATAATTAATTGGAGCAGGGGCGATGCCTTGTGCCATACTGGATAGTAACCCGATAATTTTCGCTAATTCTCTGATCGTAATACGTTCTGATTTTATCAGCTGTTCACATGATTTAATTATGTTATTAATTTTGTTTTGCGGTAGAAATAAACTCATCTGGCTAGAATCTATATCAAAGCCTAAATAATTGATAACTTTCGTTGGTTCTAGAACGGATTTCTTAAAATTAATCACAAAAACGGGATGGTGTAAAATAAAAATAAAGGTATTACGATCCCGAATTAATCCTTCTTTCCTTTTATTGAAGATGATAATATCACCCAAATATATGACGAGACGAATGTCTAACTTCGAGCTAATGCTGCGAAAGGTTTTAGCAGTTTAAAGAAGATCCGTGGGGCGGGTGCGAGTCCGAATAGTAAACATAAAAGTTTATATAAAACGCCGTTAAAATCGAATTTTAAAAACTTTGTGTCATCGCTGTGCATAGCTACAATTAAATAGGCATCTTTGAGATCAATTTTACACATAAAATCATATTTTTCTAATAAATATTTCACATCCATCATTGTTTCGATTTTAAAATGTTTATACTCTATTTTTTCATTTAACTTTTTAAGGTTAAAAACCGATCTGACCCCACCATCTTTTTTGGGTCGCGTAAAAAGGTGGCTAACAAATTCGACAGGAGTATGTACTGTTAAAGCGATACCTTTTTTCTCGAGTAAACTTGCAATTTCTTTTTCTAAAAAGCTATTTTCCTCTGGCGAAAAGTTAGGCTGGATACACGTACGGCGTGGTGTAGGCTGTTCACAAAAAGGAACGCTGTATCCCGCTACTATACTAAAAATCCAATCATCATTCGTAACTTGTTTCCAATTATTTAGGAAAAACCTTGGTCTCCCTCCTATCTCGTTCTGAGTCCGGACTAGAAGATTTTTTGGCGGACTCGGACTCGGACTGGCGATTTTTTTGAAGGACTCGGACTTGAGTTTTTGTATTTCGAGTCCGATCTATCTAACTTTTAACACAAATGAGCAGAGAAAAATGAAAAGCGAAATAACAACACCTACTGTTTCATATGAAATTGAAAATTTTGTTCGGGAGACGGACATAGAACATAACCTTATTTTCGAAAAATCAAATATCTATCCAGGACTCAGCAAATTAAAATATAAACCAACCTCATCAAAAGAGAATCTACAAGTTTACCGGACTCGAAATGAACTCAGAGTCGGACTCGGTACCTCTCGGACTCGCCCATGTCTGACCGCCAGCATGTGGCTGTTTCGGTGGATAAGTTGATTGAAATCCACCACGTTTATTAAAACCAATGAATGGACAATTGTTATTATTATTCCAAAGACATGAACCAGAACTCCGTGGAAAATTTGACCGTGGTCGAAATGAATTTCCTCCTCTAGGATAACGATTATAACCGGGTCTGGGTAAATGCGGTTGCACCCTCCTCTTCAGTTCTTCTGAGCGTTTCTTCCCTCTTCTCTTGTTGTCTTTTGATAAAATCGTCGCCGAACAATGAATTTTCTGCTTTGTGTAATCCGAGATATGTTGCACTTCTGTGAACTGTTTTTCAATGTATTTTGTGATGGTTGACGACAATTTCAGATATTTCCTTGCTTTCCTTGGATCAAATAGCTTGTCTTTTGATGACTTCGACAGTGTCGATGATACACTTGTTAACAACGTAGATGAGCTTGAGCTCGATGCTGATCCGTCCGATCAAGATACGGACGGCGCAGTCAAGATTATTGCGCAAGATTGCAAGTATAAACAGATCAGTTTTTATTGTTAAAGACAATTTTTTTGTTTGTTAATAAACGGTGGTCATATACATCAAAAAGGACGGACTCTAACAAATGGGTCAAAGAGTTAAACCGGTTTAGCTCTTTTCTTTTTCGATGTCTTTCTCTTTTTTCTTGTTGACTGTGATCGTTTTGTATCTTTTTTGTTCGGTGTATGATCACATCGTGATGTCCGTTTTTTATGAACTTTGTCCGTTTCCTCGTCATCCGACTTGTCAGAGGAGTTCGACCCGGAAGCGCTATGATCATCGGACGTCTTCGATAACTTTAAATTCGTAGCATCATCTGTGTTATCATTATTATTATGCTGACTATCTATAGCATCTTCATTATCATTTTGTTCATTATCGTTTTGATGTTCATTTTGATGATGAGTATCATCATTTTGAATAGTATTTGTATTTAGAACAGTACATGTATTACTTGACATGCTATGCTTTTATAGAGATAATTAAAATGAGATGTTTACTTGAGTGAAACAAATGAAGGAATGACTGAGATCTTTTCTTTGAAGAGCTTGGCGGCAAGAAGCAAAAGAAGGGAATACCTATTAAGCTTGTAGTTACTGCAACTGAAGTTACGAAAGCAAATTGTGCTGTATATCTTTTGATGAGTGAAGTGATCTTGATTAATTAATCATAATTAACTTGCGATGTTTTTAAAAATGGCGATATATCAGTGATTTTTAACAATTGGCGATTTTTTCTGCAAGTCCATTAATCACCAGTTGTTAAAAACTGACGATATATCGCAATTTATGGACGATTATAGTCAAAACTGCGA